CAAAATAATGCACTATTGAATTGTCTTAAAAAGATGTACAAAAAAGTCTGCAATGGTATAAGGATTCTATTAGGTTTTTATCTTTTACACATTGGGTAATTAACGAAGCTATCTTGAACAATACAGTATAATTCCTTATTCAAATAAATACGTTGTGCATTTGATGTAGGTCAAAACATTTTAGAGCATATTATTAAAATGAATATCTTAGTAGATATCAGAGATTTAAAATGCGAGGGCAAAGCGGCCGTCTCCACGTTGGGCTGGCCGTACGTCCGTCCCGGCGACAGTGGCCGGCAGGACCGGAGCGGGCATATAAATATTGCATAATAATATAAAGATGTCCTGTAGGATAGTCTTATCACAATAATAGTATTATTAATTACTCAAAACTGATACCCCATTAGAAGTACTATTTACATTGCACCCGTGCGAAGCCGCGGCGGATCCCTAGTATATGTATGTATAAGGATAGTTCGCTGTTCGCGTGCTATCAAGAGGAGTTGTGGCGTGTCCAAGTGGTGGGGTACGAATACGGCTGCCTCCCATTCCCCCTCCATCAACAACCCTTGACTCGTTTTCTAACTATTGCACTCGTCAGTTAGAAAGAAAGGACGCGTGCCATATTGATTAAACTGGCTGTTAATTATACACATACTTGTGAAAAACACAGTCATGTAAAAGAGAATCATCATCATCATCTCATGTAATTTTCATTGGCTGGTTAGTGTTTAGTAAAGTTGGTTGAGTGAGATTCTATTGTTAATACAATAGATTGTTAATACTAATGTATAGATAACATAAGCTAATAAATATATTTTAAAGGAAATCGATTAAAAATCTAAAATTGTTAACATATCATATTCCTACCACAAAAAGACATTAAAGGAATGCAACAAAAAGTTCTAAAATTACATTCTAGTCTTTTTGTAATATTTTTTTGTTTTACTTGCGCCATCATACTTTGTAGTAGTAAATTTACAGATGTCGGGGCCAACAAATGCGCTTCATTTGAGCCAACCGTGCCTAAACTCCTATTAAAACACCAATGGTTTAAATATATCTCTCAAATATAGGTATATATAAAATATAAAGACCAATCAATATTTATTTGTTGTTCCTTTTAAAACCAAAACACCTAAAATTTTACATTTCCAAATATGAAGATGCGAACAGTTACTCTTAAGAATTATAGCTTTCCTAGTAAAATAAGAATTCAAGGAGATACTCAACATATCTTTTTTCTCCGTTACCATTAATTAGAGAGGCGCTTTTCTTAGATTTGAACACCCTACCGCCAGTAGAGTTTTTGAATATAATTAGAAAGACGCTGCTGTTTATAAAATAGACAGAAGAACAACGTCTAAGTTAAAAACTCAAAAGATTGTTTCGAAAAGCGAAATAAGTACTTTGATGACTTTAGCCTTCCCGTAGATATCCGTTTACATTTTAATTAGAAACGTTATATGGAATAGAATCCGCAGTTGAGGCCATGCAGACTTACATAAGAAAACACTTTTTTTGTTGTATTTATCTCTCACGTACAACATCCTATCTAAATTTGAAGTGATATTCTTTGAACACAGCTGTAAACTAAACGTTACGGCGATTACTCCTTGAAAATATTGCAAAAAACCTTTTTTAACTCTAATAAAAATAAACAGTCGAAATACAACGAAGTACACATTAGACTGATCTCGATGTGAATGTAAATTTCTAAATACCTGGTAACCTCCATCTGTTTTGAATGTTGGCTCAATGTTCAGATTTCCATATTGATAATAAGCACTAGTATTATTATGGCGTGCACCCATACAATACTGCGGAGTTTTAACAAATTTATATTACGCCTATATACCATAGATATGTATGTATTTAAAAAACCCATATACCCCTCGGCCTCTTGATATATCCATATAAACCCATATGCAGATACATAAAAAACGTTGAACAATCTTATTTTTAAATAGCCAACTTATGTTATCGATAATCGTATAACATACATGTTAAGCTTGCATTATAGTTGCGTTTTGTTATTTGCTGAAATTATCATATTATCCATAATAAAAGGAGATTTTCCAGTTCAATGATTTGTTTTCCTGTTAAATGGCGGTTTGGAAATATAGGTGAATAATGCCATGTCGAAAGTAGCTTCTGCAACGTTTTTTTTACATACTAGCTTTTGACCGCGGCTTCGCTAGCGTTAATGTCGATTTTGTCTCAATATTCTAGGATAAAAAGTAGCCAATGTGCTATTTTGCTAACTTTCATCCAGATCTGTTCAGCCGTTCTTGAGTGATTGAGCAATAAACATTCATTGTAACTTCAGCATTTAAAATAGTATAGTATGAAGAAATAAGACAAAGCTCTGATTTTGGTACTGAAAAGTGCGTGAACACCTGCATTGTTATTGCAAATGTCGATGCAGTTTGCAACTGCAACTAAAGTTACCTTCGCAAAAGTGAAGGAAATAGTGACTGAAAATTCTCATTCAATTTTGAGAGAGATAGCCGTCGAACTGTCTGTATCTCACGAGTCGATCCGTACCATTTTAACTAATTATTTGGATATGAAACATGTTACCACTCGGCTAGTCCCAAAAGACCTTAATTTTCTCCCAAAAACTCAATCGCATGAGAGTCGCTGAGGACATGCTAGAACGAGTCAATTCCGACCCAAAATTCATGAAACGCATTGTTACTGGTGGCAAGACGTGGGTTTACGAGTTTGACATGCAAACTAGTCAACACGCTTCGGAGTGGCGCCTTCCAACTGAACTGAAACCGAAAAACCCACGCTAAAGTCGATCAACAGTCAAAGTCATGTTGACTGTTTTCTTGGCTATCACGGTGTTGTGCACTCGAAATTCTTGCTGGAAGGTCAACGGTAAATAAAGAATATTACTTGATTATTATGCGGCATTTAAGAGAGCAAATTCGACGAAAAAGGCCAGATTTGTAGAAAGAAAATTCTTGGAGTTTGCACCACGATAATGCGCCTTTGCACAAGGCCATCATTGTGAACGAATTTTTGACCAAACACAACAAATACCATCGAGCAACCACCATATCCACCAGATATGGCTCCAGCCGACTTCTTTCTTTCAAATAACCACTCCGTGGCATCTGTTTTCAATCGGTAGAAGAAATAAAGGAGAATTCGCGGCGAGAACTAAACTCAATTCCGGAAAAAGCGTTTAAAAAATGGTTTTATGATTGGATTATTCGTTGGCGTAAGTGTATCGTTTCTGAAGGAGCATACTTTGAAGGTGATAAAATATATTTGGATGAATAACAAACATTTTGTGTATTATTGATCTTTTCCCAAGTACCGGGAAGACCTTGACAGAGTAGTACCTCTGCCGTTGATGTAAAAATTAATGTTCTGAAAGTCTAAAGACTCGAACATTCAACCGAAATTGTGCACGATTCTAAAAAATGTGTAATACGAGTACCGCTATAATTCCTTGTTTACTACGAATTAACAAAGTAGAACTCTATATAAAGTTAAACATACTAATTAAATAAAGTAATTGAACTTGTTGGTGTAGTGGTTAGTGACCCTGACTGCTAAGCCGAAGATCGTGGGTTCGATTCCCACCCAGGACAAAGATGGTGTGATGAGCACGGTGTGGGTGTAATTTAATTTTTTTTTTTATTTAATTTATCTATGATTTGTATGAATTTAAAAATATATAAGTATGCTTGTGAGCAGTCTGGTTACGATAGCACAGGCTCCACCTAGTTTGGGATCAAACGGCCGTGTGTGAGATGTGTAAGGTATATTATTATTATTAATTATGAATCTTGCTATTGTATCTTTATTGTGGCCAGTTGTCGTGTTAAAAGATTAATTTAATTTAACAACACATTTTTACTCTTCCTTTCTATTTCTTTCAAAGAATCTGCGAGTATTGTTTATTGTGGAAATACTCTTGACAAACACTCATAAAATGGGTAGTACTCGTCAAAACATTTAGGATTTGAATGAAATGTAGAGAAAGAAATAATATATTTTAATACATTCCTGTATTGATGAAACGTGAAAGAATCATGCTTCGGCACATGTTGGCGGTCCTGACCGTAGTACTACAACTGCCTCACACTGGTGTTAATCAATTATTTTGTTGCATTTCAGAAAGTCATTTTTAATGTAAGTTACCGGACAGGGGATATCTCTAGATACTCATCACTTTTATATAATCGAAGCCAAAACACTTGTTCTAGATGGCAGTGCTTGCGAGGCGAGCCGGCGGCGGCGCTTCGGCGTCGGATGTCACTCGCTCCCCGGTACTTGGGTCATCTAAAGTGAATCCATTTATCCGGTAAGTAACTTTTTGTGCATTCAGGTAAGCCTAACGCGCCATGCAATGAAAACGGAGTCAGAATTGTTTCGGATTTGCCAAAGACGCAGTGTTGGTTTTACAATATTATTTCAGTAATACATGTAAAAAATAATTGATCAAGACATAATTGGTTGACAAATACATGTGTAAAGTATAGTCGTGCAAATATCAGTATTCTATTTGTATAACTTAATTGTAAGCGAGCTTAAAAATATCCAAAACTTATTATTAAAATGGTAAATGATGTTAGTCTCGAAGAGGTCGTAGTCAAGCTGTCAACTTCCTATTACAGCTAAGTTGCTGTTGCGTTCTTATGATAACCAACTATGTCGCTTTTGATTAAGGTCAAGGCTAACATCAAAACGACAGTTGTAATGCAGGAATTATCCGTTGGTAGCGGACTTACAAAATTCGTACGGTTTGTTCATCTACAGATAATCGTTTCAGATCTTTGCCATTAGTTATGCTGCATAATAACTTAATACTTCTATAAATTTGTGTAAATGGGTCATATATAAAACATAAAAAAGTATTTAACATTTCCAATACTTTATTAAAAAGCTAAATTTACAACCGTTTAGTTATGCTAACGTTATTTCCAATAATCGGTATTGAAAATAACGTCAGCAGTTATTAATAATGTAGCTTTACTGCTTTATGTAAAACTTTTGCAACCTTCCTCTGGCCATGCGTCCAGAAAATCTGTAACTGGATATCCATTACTGTCAACACAGAAAAACACATCGCCTATGTTCTGTTCTGGTCGGTAGTTACCATTCGCCAAGCATGTCTGTGTCATCGTCATACCACGCGCAGGAAAATGTATAAAGAAGTCTCGTGCGCAATCTGTACATAATAACAAACAATTGCTTAGAAAGCAAGCAATTTATTTTCATATAAATAGCGTAATGTAATAGTTAAAAACAATAGGATATGACAATTAACATGTATAAACAACACTGCTTTTGTAACTAGAAGAACATTACATAGCTGTATTCAAGATGATGTTGAAGTTTCTATGTTAAAATTGTTTTATTATCAAGACTTGTATTAAAATATTGTTCAGTAGAATTATTGTAACTTTTATCACCGGTTATTGTGAATCCGTAGTACGAGTATACATATAGGTGCGCTAATTATGTACATTTCTCCTTCTATATTCCTTAAGTAAATCTACATTTTTAGCAAATGTCTAACTCAAAACAAACTTTTATTTATATAAGCACCCTTAAAAAGCAGGTCAGGGTATGTAGGGAAGCCAAACATGAGTTGGTACAAATAAATGAAATATTATATTCTTCTAGCAAAATAAATATGATAGAATAAAACGAATATTTCAGAATATCCTAAATATTTTATGATATCCCATAGGATATAGCATCCCCTAAATATTGTACGATATCCTATGGTACCCCATATCCTAAAAATATTTAGGATATTCTTAGAGAATCGATTCCTGAGATGAATGAATTTATCTACATACAGGTTGATAGCGAACTCTCAGTGCGAGTTAGATACGCACTGGTCCGTTTTGTTATGTGTAAGTAAGTTCTGTAAAACCCCACATTCCATCCGAGTTGTGGGATGAGTGTAACCGTACAACGTATCGGGGACAGGGTCACGGCCGACAACCGGTCTTAGTGCCTAGTGCCACAATTATTTGAATAACCTATGATAACGGTATTCTCATGTCCCATAGTTTATCTCATTTTGTTTTGCCACAGCATTATTTTAGTCAAATCAATAATAAACATTCCCTGGAGTATTGTCGGGCCTGTTGGCCTAGTGGTTAATGACCCTGACTGCTAAGCCGGAGGTTGTGGGTTCGATTTCCACCCAGGACAAATATTTGTGTGATGAGTACGATCGTTTGTTCTGTGTCTGGATGTAATTTATCTATAATACGTATGTATTTACAAATATATAAGTATGTTTATCAGCAGACTGGTTATCATAGTACAGGCTCTGCCTAGTTTGGGATCAGACTGCCGTGTGTGAGGTGTGATGTGTGATGTGTGAGTAGTATGATATTATCATATCATTTTTGAAAATGTTCGGTACTACATTTTACTTATAATATGTATTTATTTATTTAAATTTTATGCACATGTTCAACATAGGGCGACTTAATGTTAATGGCAAGCAAATGTTTACGTTTCATTTTGTTCTCACGTTAACGCAAGACTTTTTTGTAATGACATTATTCGTGGTAATCGTTGGCCAATTTCAAATTTAGTTACGGCTATAACTTTTAAAACAATGACTCGACAATTTTATTACATAACACCATTATTTCTAAAAGAGTGAAAGTTTATACTACGCAGTTAAATGATCGATAGGAACGATAGTAGTGTTACATAAAAACATACATAGTACTTACTACAGGTCATTCCGGCCATGTCGCTAACCGCGACATGCCAGTTCCCTAGTGAGGCTCCGTCAGGACCCTTACAGTAAGCACTGAAAACAGTCAAGCATAGCTTCATAAGTCCAGATAAGGTCGAGATAATAGCGATAATAAATATTAGAAAGTACAATATATAACACCATAATACTACGGCCATTACAGGCAACAGGTAATAGTACATATATTGTATAATTTGTTTAGTACTGCCACAAAATAAACAATCAGACTTATGTATAAAAAATTAAATGTAAAATTCGTAGGGCTGGATCATTACAAAGTTTATAATTAAAATTTGCTACCTGAAAATAGCATGCGTGTACCAAGATTGTGCCTGCTAGAAGTAACATAATTGGAACTGAAGATAGGAACAGCGGTCTCACATTTAGCATGACCAATAAAACCTTAAGGTTTTAAAAATCTGTCTATAATTTCTATAATCCAATTAATATCGGTATATTAAAACAAGCATTTGGTATAGCTATGTAAAATTTTAACGTTGTATTATTTGTTTATCTGTTTTCGCTGTAGGCAGACAGTGATTGTTCTAGCTCTAAGTACGATTTGGCTTCGTTTTCTGACTTAGTCGTGTAGTGATTAAGTGGGTTAATGACATCAATAGCGTCGTGGCCAGAACCACCGATCGATGGGTGTGAAAAGCGCTCTCGCGGTGACTACATTATCAGATTTTTTCTATTGGCGGCATTTCAAAAAGACTTGTCATTTTTTTTTTATGTCTCATTGAGGTCTGTGGATATAATGGACATACACATTTGACCAATGTCAATAATAGTAGGAAGTATAGGTACATTTCTATAAAATGTATGAACATACCTATGTTATCGTTGTAGTGCACAAAGAGTGCAGTACATTCTAGTACGTTATTTTTATTCAGAAGTAGGTAACAGATTACGATACTTCTAAATCTCATTATTTAAGTTCTTAGCAATAAACAATTTGAATAATATTTATAACTAGACACATCTCACACTTAGATAGAGCTCTAGCTCATAGATTTGGCTCTTGCTCTACGTGATACTATTTGTCAAGGCTAAATCTCCATTTCACATTCCACCTAATATGACAGTGAACATAAACAACTTACTTGTCATTCCGTATTTGTACGGGTCCGTAAGTCCCATCGTAGTCACAGGATGGAATAGGGTTACCGAAGAAATTAGTGCCGTGCCTCGATTGCTCTTGAGTTATCCTGGTGCTGGCTATTGCTAAGCTTTCACACTGCCTCAAATATTGCATTCCGATCTCTGATGTGCTGTCTACGAAATATAAGTAAATATAAAATATATTCAGCTAGTGTGTCAGGTATTGTATTAATAACATAATCATCACTTAAAAACAACTCCCTAACTAGGGAAAATATCCGGTGTCGCGGGAGACTTCACAAACATATATATGAAACGGACACAAAGAACACCCAGACTCAGTACAACAATTTGTGGATCACACAACGGGTTGTCCCATATGAGGATCGAACCCACAACACTCAGCGCATTAGAAGGTGACGAGGTGACCGCTTCAACCACCACGAAATCCAGAAATATATAATATAATACTACAAATAATACAAATACTCATACGATATGGACAATAGTATTTTCCCGTTATACCGCTTACCAATCTGCATTTATTATCTATATCTATACATGTTGTACTGTCATAATAATCACTAAGTAGATTCCATTGAATTTAGGATACTTGTCACTCAGAAAACTATTTACAACCTACCTATAAACATGTGTATGATACTTAAGTAATGCTGATGCACATTTTACTGTCTAGCACAATCCTTTTCATCCACACTGTAAATAAAAAACGTATTGCGTCCAATTACGCCAGTCAATTACTTTACAATATGCAAATAATCATGCGAAATGTAAAGAACAAATGCGAATTCTTATTTAACTAATTTAAGCGTCTTAAAATGTCAGTGTGTAAACTTTTCTAGTAAATATCTACGTTTTTTGAAACTATCACCTAAGTCAGTAAGATCCTAGCAAAAAAAAGAAAAATATTATTAGCGTATTTGATTCTTTTCATTTGCTTCATCAGTTTAGGGTTACCATTTTACAGCCATTATGTCAAGTAGGGGAAATACTGTCCAAGTGTCGTAAATATATGTTAATTACTTATAATTTTTATAATTTTAACTAATGAATCAATAAAGAATTTGTAGTTTTGTGGTACATTTTAAAATGCATTATTTACGTATTTGAAAACCCAGTAGTGGAATATAAGGAAGTAAAAAAATTAAGTAGCAGCTCCAAGCTAAAAAACGCAAAGGTTTTTTGACAATGACAACTGACAACTCTTAACAAATGTTTGCGCTCAGAAGACCAATTCTTGTAATAAAAGTTTGGTCACAATTCAGTTCCCATCAACTTTCGATCTCGCAATTGTCATAAAAAGTATTTCGTAGTAGTAGTAAAGTAGTAAAGTATTACTAGCAGATTATAGATAATTAAAGAAAACATTATGCAGTGACGTTATAAAATAGTCCATAGATAAAAATAATGCTGCGTAACCCAAAAATCAAATGATAGTATCTTTTTATCTTTTGTAAAAATTGTTTTATACATAGATTCTTAAAAAAAATGCTGAATTTTCTGATATATTTTTCACTACAAGACGATGCAATTTGTTTTAAAATTATTTTTTGTATGGAGACCTGCCATTGTTCTTTTCATGGCTTGGATACGTTTTATTTGTAAAACTTGTACAATCCTTTATTTCACATGATTTGAATGAAATATCGACATCTACGCGCTTGCAAGTTGTGCGAGTGTTTGATAACTAAGCAACGGTTCTTAGCATTGTATGAAGTGTGTATGAAGTTCATACTCATATTTCAATTTCTTTCATAAATAAGATGAAATGGAATGAAACAAATTGTCTCTACCTACAAAGTGTACCGAAATAAATTTATCATATTTTAGGATTTAAACATACATAAACATAACAACAATTTTATAAAATTAATAATAATAATTAAAATTAAGTGAAGGCTAGTTTTTTATCTTTATAATCCGTATTTTTACTCGACTGCTCAAGGAGGGTTATGATTTTTGAGTGTAGATAGTGGAGGGTTATATATCTTTTTGGCACGCTCTATAGCCTAAACCACTTACGGGATTTTGGCGTTCAAGCATTTATTAGATGTGTCTTAATTGTAAGAGTGATTCTGAGTATATGAAAATTATAAAAAATAAAATGGCGGCTTCTTGTAGCCAAATTATGTTTCAAGAATTTATTTTCATCAAAAACTATCGAGTGGGGTACCAAAATACTAAACTTATTATATATTTAAATTTAATTTTAAACAAAAAAGCAAATAAAATATATTTAAGTTAGTGAAACGATTTTCACGCAGTCGTGTTTTTTGGCTTTTTTTTTTTTGTATGAATAACTTGTTGTATATAATATTTCCGGAATTAGATTCACAGTTTACAAACAACGACACTAGGTCCGTACAAAGGTGTATAGATTACTAATGAGGCCTCAACTCTGCTGTTGTACGTTAACATAAAATAGCAGAATTTAAGGCCAGATGTTCGCAAGTGCTTCGCAATCTTCCTTTAAATTGTGCCAAAAAGCAATACTCGATTGGATTTGTCACGAGTACCTACTGAAGCAAACCTACTCGAGCGAAGTACCCACTTTTGAATTTGCGAAGGATTGTCAAGATTTTTAACGTTGACTAGCCTAAACTTAACGCCCTGAAGTTTTTTTTGGGTTCCGTACCTCAAAAGGTAAAAAAGGAACCCTGTTAAGATCACTTTCTTGTCCGTCTGTCCGTGTGTCACAGGTAGACCTAGCAAGTTGAAATTTATGCCAGATTCTGAGGTCAATGGTCCCTATTAGGTGTATAAAAATCAAGGTCCTGAGTCAACACGATAAAAAGATATGGGCAAATTTCGATTTTCGCGAAAACTTGTAAGTACCAAAAGTTACCTTAATTTTCAACAATTTTTTTTTCAGAATTTTCTCTTTACTTGTGCTGCAAGACCTTGCTTTTAACCAAAATTGACAATCCTAGGTCAACCGGAAGTAACTTTTTTTTGCACGCCGTCTCGGGTACTAATAGCCGGGTAACCAGGTATACCCTAGAAAGGAAGTCCCTGGTGCCCCGACATACCTCGGGCCATCTACGGACGAGTAGACGACCCCTCCCCCGTGTGGGAACCCCATGTTCCCTCTGCTCCCTGGAAGCGAGCGCGCTTCGCAACGCGTTCGCCGCCACCCTGGCCTGCTTCTGCTAGGGTGACAGATGGCCTTATCTGTCACCCCCAGGCCTGCGCTTATCGAGGACGGAAACCGGAAGTACCCTATAGGTTTTGGGTGGAAAACCTATATGGTAGTTCCCGTTGACCTAGAATCACGCAATTTGGCAAAAAGAAACGTCTTACAGCACAAATAAAGGAATAATTCCAAAAAACAAAAAAAGTTGAAAATTAAGATAAATTTTGGTACTTACAAATTTACGCGAAAATCTACGTAAAATCTAGGTAGGGACGGGACCCTCGGCGCACGAGTTCGACACGTACCTGACCGGTTTTTATTTTGTTATGATATAGTGGTCAAATGAGCAGATGGGTCACGAGACGGAAAGGGGCTGTAGTCGCCCACGAACACTTGGAAAGCAAAAGACGCAAGTGCGTTGCCGCCCTTTGAGTGCAAGAGAGAGGGGAAGGGGTTGTCCTCTGATAACATCACTTACTCTTGATGAAAAATAACGAAAGATAAGTAGTTATTAATATTGGTTTTCTGTGAGGCCGTGGTATCACCTCGGTCGTGCCGCTTCATAATTAACGAGAATTTTATTTTCTTAAATATATAAACAAAAAATATAAAACTATTGATAAAATATGAATAACAGAAATTCCAAGCATCAGTTACTTTTAAAGTAATAATTTGGGTTCTGAATTCAGTGTCCTACTTGAAAATACACGAGTTATTGTAAAATATCTTTATTGGGATAGTTATTCATTTTTCGAACGTACCACCATGCACCGCTAGTGCAAAATTGATACTAAGCTCGCCCAAACCTGTAGATGCTTCGTAAATTTTCTTTGATTTGTGTCAAAAAACCCGACAGTCGCTGAATCGGCTACGAGTACCTGTTTGAATTTGTGTAGGCTTGTCGCGTAGGCGTTATGTGAATAGTGGGGATATGGCATTAGAGGCACGTCAAGTTAATTATAAAAACATTTCGTTTTGTATGTCAATATTTCTAAAGAAATGTAATACTGAGTAAAGACTTTAATATTGTCTACGGCACCGTTGACTGCTTTAAGCTTTTAGAGAAAAATAGCGTGAAATGATTTTATTATATTTTTTCTTCTAAGTAACGTGTATTAAATAATATTCTATTTGAAAAGTTTGCTAAGCCATCCATAAAAACACAAGTTATAATACAAATAATAGGTCTTTACCTATTAAATTGCCGTTTTGTATGCAATAAGTGAAAGTACTCATTTTTTCAAACTTTTTTATTTCTGTCATTCGAAGTAATCACCCATGCAATCGACACATCTTTGCCAACGCATTGGCATTTTATTGATGCCCTTCTTGTAAAAATCAGCTGGACGGGAGGCAACAAACTCTTCAAAGGCATTTTGTACTGCCTCTCGGGAATTGAATTTTTTACAAACTAAAGTTGTATAAATTTTGGAAAAAGTAATAGTCGGTAGGTGCAAGGTCTGGTGGTCACATCTGCAACCAGCTTTGGTCAATCGGTCGTCCCCACTGCTCCTTCACGACAACGCGCGACCCCATACTGCGCAACAGACAGTCTCCAAGCTGCAAGAGCTGGGGTTGGAAGCTCTCCCTCATCCGCCATACTCACCAGATCTTGCACCTACCGACCATTACTTTTCCAAAATTTAGACAACTTTTTAGTGGGTAAAAAATTCAATTCCCCAGAGGTAGTACAAAATGCCTTTGAAGAGTTTGTTGCCTCCCGTCCAGCAGATTTTTACAAGAAGGGCATCAATAAACTGCCAATGCGTTGACAAAGATGCGTCGATTGCACGGGTGATTACTTCGAATAACAGAAATAAAAAAGTTTGAAAAAATAAGTACTTTCACTTATTGCATACAAAACGGCAATTTCATAGGTAAAGACCTAATATAGTCAAAACTACCTTACGCTTTTTTACAATAAAAAAATATATTCTACTTTTAATTTCTCCTACACTAAAGCGTGTTTTATTAGTTTCTTTTACGCTATAGTTTATGTATCATAATTCATTAGAATGAACACTTACAACAAGGCAATCGCCTCATATCTTCCTCAGGCACAGGTATTACAGTCGGTTGACCGGTCCTAGGTTCTGCGCACCAACATAACCCATCATCACACTGAAGCGGTTCGTAGTCCCCAGATGTAGTGCAATGAAGGGTTACAGTTCTATTTTCTTTTGCTTCTAGCTCCGCTCTTCGTCTACTGCATGCTAAAAAATCACACAGTTGACACAATAGAGTAAATAATCTAATAAATATTAGTACGTAAAGAGAATACTTTGTGTTGTATTAATTTTTGAGAAAATTTCGCGTTATCTCGAACTTAAATTTCGATCAAACATATCGACCAGAAATAAATAGTACTAACTCTCCTCAAAAAGAATGGTTTAAACCTGATGGTTCAAGAGTATTTAAGAACATATGTATGTGTTTTTGTCCAACTGTTTCTGTTTATCTGAACAATTATCTTTTTAAAACCAAAAAAACTTAATTTTCAGTGCTCCTGCTCAGACATTTCCCGACTACCCAAAGGTTGACATGGAGAAAATGCCTGTGGCATTAAGTCCGCCATTTTACAATTAATTTGTAATTTGTGCATAAAGAATTAAATAAATAAGTGAAATAAATAAACAATCAAAAAGTCACCTTTTTTTTATGTTAGAGGGGACAGACGAGCAGACGGGTCACCTGATTGAAAGTGACTATCGCCGCCCATGAACGTCTGCAACTCAGGAGTCACAAACGCGTTGCCGGCCTTTTAGGAAGGAGTACGCTCTATTCTTAAAGGTTTGAAGGTCGTATCGGTCCGGAAATACCGCAGACGATAACCCGTTCCACAGATTAGTTGTGCGGGGCAAAAGGTGTCTCGAAAAGCGCACAGTAGTGGAACGCCAACTATCCAGGTAATGAAGATGAAAATTATGCCGTTATATTAATTATACGATGGCGGAAATTTGCGGTTGGTATTAGTCCGAACAATTCCTCGGAGCACTCTCCATGATAATATGCGATAGAGAATGCAGAGTAAAGCCACATCTCTACGTAACGCCAAGGGATCGAGTCGATCGGAGATGTTTGGGCTATCGACGATTCAAGTCGCTCTTCGTTGGATGCGGTCCAGAGGGAGAAGCTGGTAGTGAGGTGCCCCTGCATAGAGATGAGAACAGTATTCCATATGCGGCGGGACTTGCGCCTTATAGAGCTGAAGGCGGTGGGCCGGAGTGAAATACTGCCTCGATCTGTTCAGGGCACCGAGCTTCTTCGAGGCAAATTTGACCTTACCCTCTAAGTGAAACTGGACTTAGCTCGATATGTCGGTGCCTAGGATTCCGATGCTGGCTGAGGCAGTTAGGGAGGTGCTCTCAAACTGAGGTGATACGACAAATGGTATCTTTTTTTGCGGTGACCGCACATACCTGTGTCTGTTTTGGGTTAAACTGGACTAGATTTAGTAGGCCCCAATCTGAAACCTCCGCTAAGGAAGTTTCAATTTCAGACACAAGTTTGTTTCGACTCTCGATGACGTTTTCCCGAGAAACATTGGGGCGGCCGGTATAAAGGGCATCTCCTGTGCTATCATCTGCATAGCAATGGGTACTACTAGTTTGCAACATGTCATTTTTGCATAGCAATGGGTACTACTAGTTTGCAACATGTCATTGATATGCAGAAGAAACAGTGTGGGTGATAGCACACAGCCTTGTGGGACACCAGCATTTACGAATTTCAAGTCGGAGCATGTAACGTTTACAAGGACCTTAATGCCTCTGTCCGCAAGGAAGCTAGTGACCCAATTACACAATTTCTCGGGAAGCCCAAAGGAAGGGAGCTTCGAGAGAAGCGCCTTATGCCAGACCCGATCAAAGGTCTTCGCTATGTCCAAACTTACCGCACAAGCCTTTCATTTGGTCTCGATCGCCTGTGCCCAACGGTGTGTTAGAAAGACGAGAAGATCACCAGCTGAGCGACCCCGGTGAAAACCATATTGTCGGTCATTGAGTAGCTGGTGATCATCCAAGTACCGAAGGAGCTGGCTGTTGATTATGGATTCCATAATCTTAGAGAACGAAGGAGTTATGGCTATAGGCCTGTAGTTGGACGGGTCAGAGCGGTCACCTTTTTAGGGATCGGGTGCACAAACGCTACCTTCCAGGAGTTCGGGACGACGCCTTGGGAGTAGGAGAGACGAAAAAGGCGCGTTAAAACCGGTGCCAACTCCGGAGCACACGTCTTCAACACAATAGGAGAAATTTCATTGGGCCCACACGACTTATGAATGTCAAGGGAAAAGAGTGCTTTACGCACTGATTTTTGTGTGAACCGGATATCCGGCATATAGCTCTGGCACCGCGGTATGGTCGGCGGTACGTTTCCCCCGTCATCCAAAGTCGAGTTGGATGCAAAGAATTTGCCTAGAAGATCAGCTTTAGACCAACGAATTATCTCTAGTCTGCAGGGGTGGAAAGGATTGGCTACAGAAATTCCCCTTTACAGCCTTGGCAAGAGACCAGAATGCACGAGTTCCAGAAGGAAGTCTCACTAGTCTCTCACCGATCTGATGTGCTCCGATTTCGCCCTAGCAATTGCTCTTTTAAGGGACCTGGAAGCAAAGTTATATATTTTTTTTAGCGTGCTGGTAGTTACATTGCCTGCCGTCGCTGCATTTGCCCATGCTTGGTAGCATTCCCAAATTCCCAGCAGGATCAGTCGAACCAGGGCCTGGATTTGCCACCGATGGGAATTAATGTAGAAGGAACAAATATGTAGTTCCATGCCCTGAAGTATTACATCAGTGACAGAATCGGTAACGACGGTGGGATCATCCGGCAAGAAACAGACCTGCCTCCATGGCGATTTTGTAACCGTCCGGATCGGAGGTCAGCAGAAGGTCCAACAGTGAAGGCTCATGACTTTCCACATCAGGAACTCGCGTGGGCGCGTTGACATCAGTTGTGACAAGCCATAGGTCAGGGCGAAATCGTGAACAGATCTCCCCGCGTGATCGGATCGGAGGCGGCGCGAACTGATATCACCTCTAACGTACACGCACACTTCAGCCCTAGCAACAAAGGAGTGTTGCAGATGATAGCCAGGGTAGGAGAGGTAGGATGTAAAATGCAACAGAGAAACTTCTTTACGACCGGTTTTCTTTGAGGCCGTTGAATCGCACCGGTCAAGCCGTCCCATTTTTGCCGAAGCATGGCGTTAAACTTTTCAGGTTTATTGTATTACTAGGTGGTCCCCGCGATTTCACCTGTCACTGCTTATAGGGTCAAATCATGTGTGATGTTATATAGCCTATAATGGTTCTCAAATGATACATGCATAATCATAACTTAACACAAAAACAATATTTCAAATTTGACGGATCAAAAAACTCTTCAGTATAGTTAATCACTTTTACAAGTGTATTTGTACCGTTAATCCACGAACTAATGTACAATGGACTAAATAAAGTGAAATAGGTAAAACGGTTGGAACGGTTAATAATAACTTTCAAATTTGCAATTTTGAACCTTAAACTTACCTTATTTTCTTTAATGTCATAGCTGCTGCTAACTTTTCTGGTTTTTCTACATTTTTGTTCCTTTGTGTTGACTTTCACTACTCATCAGTTTATGATACTTCTTACTAAAGTTTTAAAATGATGTAAACTACAATATTTACTTATTGTGAGTCGTTCTGTCTAATAGGCTGCTTCGAGATATAGTATTCTCTTGCTATTTTATTGAAATTCAGACGTATTAAAATATAGGATTTTTATAATAACGTTAGTTTGCCAACTTCTTTTCCTATTATTTAAACTATGAAAGGTATTTACTGTAAAACATTACATTAAAACAGTTAAGACACATTAATGCGATAGTGTGTGTATGTACACTTTTGAACGGTTTGGCCGTTGCCGATGTCGCAGGTTGACTCTGGCAAAGCATTTTGTCCTTGACTCCGTATTATTTGGAGCGTTCTTCATGCGCTGAACTCATTTTTATGTTTTTACTTTCGCTATATACCGTACTAACGGATCCATTAGACAACCGTAAGTTTCCTATATCTAGTTAGTATTTAACACGTAACCGATAATTTAAACTGTTGTTGTTCTTCATCTTGAACACCTTAACTTACATTTACTTACATATTTGAAAATTTTCGCAAAATATTTGAGTATATAGATTAGTGGAAAATGTATTTCTGTAAGAGCTAAGAGCCAGCAATATCCCTCGGTCTAGGCATATTTCAAAAATATTTTATTGTTATTTTGAAATAGGAAAAAATTATTATAAATTGTATCCATAAATATTTGCGATACCATCGATACTAATAAAAATCGTCAAAAAGTTAATCGAGATTCTGCAAAGTTGTGAATGAGGTAAACACAACTATGAACTACTTATAAATATGTAGACTTAAATGCACAAAATAATTAAACCATAAAAATCGTAATTAAGGACAGTACTCATATTAACAACTATATATCTATTTTATTTATTTATTTATTTATTATAACTTTTTGCACAAGTACATGCATCGGCGGACTTAATGCCTAAGGCATTCTCTGCCAGTCGACCGATTGGGCGGTGCTGAGAAAGAATGAGGTAGGTGCATTTATGGTAGGGTAATAAACGATAGTGGTTTTGTTAAATACCAACTATCTTGGAATTTTGTGTATACGTCGTAATACCACACACATACACATATATATACATATACATACTCATACATATATACATCTCATACATATGTGTATGTGTATACACATATATATAAGAGAAAAATAAAAAATTTAGCCGATAAACTAGGGGCTCGTTGAATCTGCCATTTCGCTCAGCAATAGCTCTTTCACTTTCGTCTTAAAAGAGTACCGATTTGTAGCCATCCTGACTTCGTGAGGAAGCGCATTCCATAAGAGGACTATATATCTACCTACCCTTTTAAATGTATTTAGTGTAAAAATAAGTAAATTATTTACCGGCACCTTCCTGAAGGTTGCTTAAACCTGTTAAAACCAGCTGTAAATGTACTGCAGTTATTAAAATGGTAAATCGTGTAAACATAATACTCGTATGTTTATATTATAAACATCAATCTTAGGCACAGAGGAATGATAGTTATAGTAGGGGAGCCCTCGAAGGGAAGGGAGGGATTTACTCGAGCATGGCAGATTAACATAGGAGAAATACATTACACCCAGTTGAGTACCTCCACCACACATGAGCCCTACATATATTGGGGATCGTCTAGGGCAGCTCATCAGATTTGTAAAAACAAACGATTGCTAGAAGCACTCGAACGTTTAAGATTAAGGTAGGTTGGTTAATTACATACACATTAGTGTGTATTTAAATAAAATCAGACGATTGAAGCGTGACACAAAGCAGAGGGAGGGTCACAAAGTTCCAAAATAAAACACATGACCTTACATTTTTTTGAAGCAGACAAGTAAAGAAACCTTCCTTAAATCTCTCAAAAATCAAATATTAAAATATTTCCAACGGTCCCATTTTTGACTAGTATGATAACCGTCTGTATACCAAATTGTCATTTTATCCCCAAAATATCTGATGCGCCCGAATTTTTTTTTTTCGATTTCCTCCCTTTACATTTTAAAAAATCTGTAAAAGCTTTTCCCACCGCTGAAAGTGAAAACATTATATAACTTTTATTGATTCTAAAACCTAATCATTCAAATGCAATAAGTCTCCACGACGCTCGAGTAAATCCCCATTTAGCATCATGGGCTCCATTAAGTATGCACAGTATATCTATACATAAACTATGCATACCTATTTAGTCTTAGCTAGCTCTGAGTACGCATATGTAAGATCAAAATATAATACATTTTGATGTATTTATTTGACACGAACTGTCAGTGCATTTATTTACATTGTAAAAATATTAAAATTTACTGTATGTATGTGAATTTAAAGGCAATATAATTTTATTTACTTATAATAATCTTATCAATTCATTTATAACTCCTTTTGTGGCAATTATCAACTCGCATTTTACCGTTATGCCCAAGTAGCATAACGTCTCGTTTCAAGAGCCTTAGGAAATGGATCCTCGGGTTGATAAAAGAATGACATTCAACAAAATGTATAAGATTCAGGTTATAAATATATTTTTTCTTACCACATGTCATCCCTTCTGCTTCATTTCTCCACATTTGTCCAAAAATTGTAGTACCATCTTCATTAGTGCAGAAACATCTTCGTTGTAGACCATGTAAAAAATATATTTTCTTCAAGATAACTTATTTTTTAATTGTGAAAGTTGTAAGTACATAAATTTTCTATATATATCTTAAAGAGAATTCCTTGAACAAGTTTTTAAGTTAACGTAAAGTTCACGAATGCAGGAACGTGAAATTAGGAATACTTAATGTACATACAGATGTATATAAAAAGGAGAGAAGGCTAAAATTTATAAACAAGACAATCTACACGCAACCAGTACGTATATATCTGGGTTCACTTATTGTAGTACGGAAAACTAGAAAATGACAGTTGAAATAATATACACTGCACTAAATTTAAAACATGCACATAAATAAAAAGCATTTAGAAGACCTTGTTTTGGGGCACTGCAGTAAGGGCGATTAGTAAACTCGACTTAGGGAAATGTGGCCCAATCCAATTTGATCTTTTTTTCACTAAGTTGATTCTATCTAGTTAGGAAAACTGGCCGAAGTAGACGTATTCTTGAACAATTCCGAGTATCGATCATGTCGAGCATCGATGTCAATCGGTCTGTTCTCAACATGTTAATTGAACATAACTTTAATTTTGTCCAAGTTCATTCCTAAACCGATGTGTCGAGATGTTTCATGCTGTTGTGCACTTTCTATACCTGCTGCTCCAGCGCCTCTGCTACTAAGTAAGATCCCAGAGCCTTAAGGCCTAACTTATTTTCTAAAAGATGAAACCTTAGGTTCTGAATAGTGAGTCATGTATTTTTAATACCTGAGTGCTTGAGAAGTTCGCTCTGTGACACCTGGGCAGGTACCAAGTGAGAAAGGTAACTAAAAATAAGAGTTACCAAATTTAAATTTATATGGCTGATTTTTATATATATTTTGTAGAATATTACTCTGAAGTAATATCAAAAGTTTCAGTCGCTTTCCATGGGCCAGTATATAAGTCAGACGCTTTAAAGCTCAAAAAAATATATGAACTTAACTTATATTTATTAAATATGTTATTAAGACAACTATTACAAAGTTATATTTAATCAGTCAGACAAATTGTAATGACGAAACATCCCCGAACCTCCTTTCTAAGGAGAGGTCTATGTCCAGCAGTGGACTATTAAAGGCTGTTGATGAAACATCCCCGAAACACAAAAATTGATCAACCATGAGCATGAGCGCGAGAGCACTATGCATGCGTTTCAGAGTACAGTATTAAAATATTTTAAGAAAACTTACTGCTTTCGATATTATATTTTTGCATTTCTATTTAAATAAGATGAAATTTTTATTAAGGTAATAAATTTTTAAATTAATTTAATTTATTGCATATATTTGGGGAAATTAATTTTTTTAGGAGCAATTGAAAACATTATAAAGAATTATTATTATTTTATTTAGAAATAATTTTAGTGGAAAAATATTCAACTATGATTAATTAGTGAAATTAAATTAAAATTAAATTAAGTCTCTTAATGATCTTGATCATAGTCATAATAATCAAATTTCCATCATTAAGCAAATCATCAAATCAAAATAAGTTGTGTCTTAAGGCTCTGGGATCTTCGACTAGTAAGACAACGTCGCGACGACGAGATGATATTTATATAAGTTCCCCATCAAGTTCAGTCCGGCGTCCTCTAGCGTTTTGGTAAATTATTTGTAAATAACATCTATATGTTATATAAAGATCTTAATACTTTCCTACCAGTACTGCCCAGGTGTTAATGGAGTTAAAAGCTCTCTCGTAGGTCCCAAAGCTATGGCTATGGATGGCTCCTCAGCCGTAATTTATCGAGCTTTCTTGTGAATTACACCCTACCCTTTTAAGATTGGGGTCACCCGTCCTTTTACGAGTTAGATTGTAATTCCGTAATTTTCAAGAGACCTGTTAATATTCAGTTGCTTGTGAAGCATCTCGTAATTTAATATTATTCTAAACTATATTAATATCGACGACATTAGGTAATTTCAAGCCACAGCTTGAAATTACCGGTTCGGGTAAAGGACTAATAGCCAATTCTGACCATTCAATCCATTGCAAGAAGGAAACTTATCTATCATTACTTTCAATAAACATACACATAACTTTATCCCCGAATTTATCTTTTAATAATTATTCTACACAGTTTTTACCTGCCAGTAAATTGGTCACCTCTGCACTGCACAGGTGCAAATGTTCCATCCGGCAAACAGGTAGCGGGTGGTCTGCAGCCAGTTGTCCCTGTATCAGGATCGTTTGGAGCATCTGAAAATAATGACAAATTTAAAATATTCACGTATTCAGAAAAAAACATTGTAGATAAATCTAGTAATTATAAGGAACTATATAAAGATTTGGGTCCCAACTTTGCATTCTTCATCTGCTATTCAACTGTCTCATGATAGATACTTCATCCATTCATGTATATGTATAATAGTATTTTTTTTGGATGCAAGGTACGTGATACCCTTTTCTGTAGAGTTGAAAATTGTCTTTATTGTTGAAAAACAAAAAGTAGTATAATAACAGTAAGTAGTACCTATATTTTATACTATGTTGTTGTAGTGATACTGGTTGCAATTCTTAAAATAAATAATGTATGATAAGATAAACTGCACTGAATTATTTAGAAATAGGTAATACTGCCAGTATTACAAAGAACGTTTAAAAATGATAGTATCTTAGTTCACCAACTCTTAAAATTATAATACCTTTGTTGCTGACCGGTATCGCAAATGATATGTGCGCAATTCCCTTATCGTTAACGTCTCTTTTAAACTAGACACAACTAGACTTAAACTTACAAATTCAAAATAAATTTGAAAATAAGTACATTAAAGAGTTTGTTGTGAATAATTATAGTAAATTGACATAAACAACATGTTTTAAATATCTTTTGTATGTAACCTAAATTTAATTACCAACGTATGCGAATAGTGAAATAATGCTACGAAATCAAAACTAATCTTATCATACACATAAAATATAAGATCAACGGAAAATGATAACAGAATCCGGATAGTGTAGAATTTCCAGGAAACTAATTTAATAAAAAGTAGTACATTATAAATAAAGAAAATAAGTTATTAAATACAAATTTATGCCCAAAGAGGGGTCAATATGAACTACAACAGGTCAGACCATATATTACGGGTTGTTAATTAACAATCTAAGTATTTTAAATACCAACAACCGGGATTTTCACCAACGTAATAAGGCCTTTCCCGGAGACTGCGATCGACCCTCGCAATGACTAGATAGAAAAACTTAACTTCCGACAGATCAGTGCCAATGAAATTTAATACGTTCTGTGCGTTATATTAACACATATCTGTTTGTTTAGAGATTTGTTATTTAGCACGAATGTCGTTAAAACTTTAATTTACCTGAAGGATCCCCACAACCTGAACAACATCCAAATATGTGTAAGCCTGGTAACAACACTGAAGAACCCCAACAAACTTGGTCATGCACACACACTTGCGCGATTGGACACTGTAAATATGCTGTCTTTATCACATAGCAAAATATAATAATCATTATATTAAATCGTTTATCCATGGCTACAGTTAGTTCTTGTATAGTTTTATTACAAAGGTTTAACTTATTCACTTCGGTTACAAACTAAGTATATTTTAATTACCGATTGAACAGCTATCTGTGTTATCAATATTATCGTAGAATCTTATCGTCTATTATTTTTGGATTGGCAGTGACGCGCATGATTCATATTGTTCTATACGTGATGTCAACATAAAGTTATAGCATTCTTATATACTCGTATTATCAGAACTAGTTGCAGCAACAAATTGTCATGTATTAAGTGTCTGTATAGTGTTCATTTATCAAATTTAATAGGTCATTATACCAAAACATGTTTTGTAAAATGAAGCTAAGTGTACAATAATATACTAAGAAAGATCAGGATTTTAAAGGACTGACCGTTTAAATAAGAATAATTTTGTTATCAGTTCTATCGTTATCTCAAAATAATTTACCGCAGAGTATAATCAAGCCAACTCAGGCCGAGCGTCGCGAGTGCCACAGCAGCGCCTTCTTCGAGCGCAAACTCAGTACATACCTTGCATTGCCGCGTATCTGATGTTATGTTATCAATTATTTTTTCGCGGTTCCTATATTTTGATTTGGTGTTTATATTTATTCATTGTTTTTACAGGTCGGATTAAAACGGGCTTACCCGGCTAGCATGGAGGATAGCAAGAAAAGACATTCAGGCACTAAAGTTTCCAAGATCGCTAATATTTTTCAAGGGATGCCGTCGAAAGAAGAAGACGAAGTCCGCGGAAGCGATGTTACTGGCGTCCGAACGGAAAGCCATTTAGCGAGGTTCAATAATGCACGTGCGCTTTTTGAAAAGTTAGGTGAAGAAAATCGTGGATTTCGTATTGAAAAGTCACCATCGGCAGCGGCTAGCTTTGCTGGCACACGAGGGGTTACACCTCCTGCACCAACTCGATCGCGTTCAAGTTCTGCAGGGTCTGTGAGTCCTCCCAGACGAATCGTAACGCCGACGCCTATGCCATCACCTGCGGTCAATGGTGATCGTCTTTCTAACGGTACTTTACAACCGCCGCCAAAACCGGCAAAGCCAAGTGTTTTGCCTAAACCTGATAAACCAGATAGACGGTTTAATAAGGAGCTCATTGAAAAACAAAGAAATTGGACAGCTCATTTCAATAAGTCTCGCCAGTCTCGTAGTGATGAAACAAAAGTGGACCCTAACAAATATTCTAGCAGTTATCAAGAAAGCAAATCACCAGAAATACCTGAACGATATGTTGTACCATCACGTGTATATTCACCACCGCTTTCGCCTTGTGCAGGTGATACCCAAGTGGAACGTCCTACAACACTACCCTCGTCTCTTGTAAATCGTGTTACTCCTAACGTAAGTCCTGTAAAATTTTCAAGTCCAGTGAAAACAATCGACCCTGTGTCACCGTTACTAAGACCTCACAACAATTCAGTGTTACCAGCATCAAGGACTGAATCTTTAGATTCGGTAAATTTGAAAAGCGAGAGTTTCAATCCACCGCAACAAACCAATAATGTCGACATTACATCTCAAGTGGCTATCTCCGTTGAGAAAAGTCATGCTAGTGTAAGAACACCAGTGTCTTCTTCAGATGATAATGCCATAATAGAAAATAAAGAAAACAGCGATTTGCTGTTACCAAAGTCAAACCAACAAAATACATCTGCTGTCTCTAAACCTATTAAAAGTTTTACAACTAACCCACCTTCATCTACATCGACTCCCACCTCTCTTGAACCTGTGTTAACGCCTCGATCTCAAAAATCGCCATCGCCATTAGCAAGAACACCAAAATCTCCAATGTCGCCATTACAGCATGAAATAGAAAACTCTATTCTCTCTGAACGTGAATCTGTAGTTTCAACATTACATAGTGAAAAACCTTGCAATCCCTCATTAGAAAAAATAGCTGATGCACCGGCTCCCCAAGACGGATATCCACCAAGTCTCGTATCTTATGAGCAGCCCGAGTCATTAAAGTGTCACGAAAAGGAAACGACTAATGTTTGTGAATCTATGTCTCCGTCTGCAATGGAAGTTCCTTTAGATGGCGATTTAAGACCAATGAAATCTTTGGATGAAGATGATTATGAAGCAATTAATTATAGTGGAGAATGGGAAGAAAAAAATAGACGACGCTCTTCTACGCCCGAGTCTCCCATTCGCCCTGAAAAAATTGAGGACGTGCCACGCTCACCTCTAGTGTCGCCCTTAGCGTCACCCGTACAACATGACGTGGGGTCCTCCCCGCCACCTTCGCTTCAGGCTTCTCCTTCGCCTGGTAAGTAAATACAGTAAAGTTTTAACCCAGTTCTTACAGAAATTGTATCGATGGCACGCGAAGCCAATTATCGTTATTTTGTTATATTTTATCTCTATTTTATCTTAAGCGTGAAATTGTTATTGATGGTTTGCGTTGACACGTATGTTTGCCAACAATAGTAATAACGTTTCCAAATCATCTTTCTTGTTGTTATCTTTGTTTCTTGGGTGTGAGACCAAACCTGTACATATCATATGACTCTATTAACGAAGTAGTACTTTCTTACTCACCACTATAATCTTCAGCCTCAATACCTTATCTGTTTTTGTATGTACCTGACTTAGTGGTTTCCATCACAACGCAGGCTAGAGTTTTGTTTACCCAACATACCTTATCGTCTCATATGTAGACATTAGTATTAGCCATACTCAGTATACAATATATTTCATTTAAACTTAAAGTGTTGCTTACCATTTTACTAATATATAAATAAATGTATGTCGAACAATTCTGTTGTGAATTTGTAAATAGTAGGACCATTTACCATCCAAAATTTTAAGACATTGTGAAGTGGGCGTTACTTGACGTATAGTCGCCGCTCTCGTGCTCTGCGGGTTCAATGTAATATTGAGGAAGTCAAGGTATTTGAGTCGTTGCGAGACTTGCGAGTTGATCCCGATTTAGATGCTCCGGCGCCGCCGCCGCCTTCGTCGTCGCGACGCAGTAACCAGAGCGACGTCGCCCTGCGCGCTCCCCTTACGCTTTATATTAATCACAATAAGGGACAGTTTTGTAAATTCATTAATCTCTTCGGGTTCTCTTTTATAAAACTTTTTAGAAATTGCGATTTTGGATACCTCTGTTACTTAAAGTGTGTGACTGTTTTCTTCATTTTGTGTGATAAATCAGTAAAGTCCTGCAAAATACCTGTGGTTATACATATAAAGCAATTTAATATGCCTTTGTCCATATTTAAAAATAAATATATGTACAAGCAATCTTGTAATTTGTGCTGAAAGTGCAAATCGTCATTGAGCTATAATCAAACCCGATGTTGTAAGCTCCCCTATGTTCTTTCTCGTTTTACTCTTGGACGTCTCATTCTGACCACTGTGTATCCGTTTCTTGAATATTAAATCAACAATTAGACAACGTTATAAGAACTTGATTAGAATATAATAATTGAAATTATCTTAAATTAAGTGATTTTTCTTTTAATGTTGACCTTCTAGTTGTAGTCGTGACCAACCTACGCTAGTAAAAAATAGCAATCTTATTTTGTAAAGTTATGTATAAACGTTTTGGCTAATTATGTTGCCAACTCGCTTATCTATGTTGATGTTTGTTTACAAAGCTCACGAGGTCCGACGACCGTTGTTAGTCAATATTTCTGTCGTAAAGTTTTATTATGTAAAAAACAATATTCTGTGTGGATATCAACTATCCAATTAGTTCTGAAATGTTTATCGTGTAGATGCATATCAATAATTATATTATGTAGGATGCAGATCTTTGAAGCAATATTAATACGCAACTCCATTCTTCTAAAACTCAGTCTATCAGTTGCTGTATAAACATTTGTAATTTAAAACTTTTCTTTAACGTGCTGTGGGGTTTCGTGCCAGAGTGGTCTGTTTTAGCGACATTACTTAATGTACATTAACGTTGTTAGTCTGACGTAAACAAAATACGTCGCTTAGAACTAAATGTCTACGTGAGAGTGCAAAGTGTTGAGACGAGGAACAGGCGACAATGGTGCGGTGATGCGGCGAGAGTCGCGCGTGCTCGTCGCATGCGCACGCTCAACATGCGCCTCTGCGGCTGTTGCCTCGGTCAGTTATGTTACTATTGTTTTACTTCTATTTCGTAACTGTATGTTAACGTATTATATCGTTTTTCATAAGTAATACTAAACTTTCACAAGTAATCTAATGTCCACAATACGGATTGTAATTGCAACAAGGCTTAAATAACATAATGTGTCGCTAAGTAAATGGTTCATTCATAACTACTATAACACTATCGTTCATAGGGCAGTGACGCAGGATAATGTTATTCATCATTAAAAGTGACTGGCTGATCGTCTATCTTTACTTAGTTTTGCACCGGAGGTAAATAATACTACTGCATCAGATAAGTATGGACTAAAAACAGTAAATGCAAATAATTGGCATTCAGACAAACAGATTCTTAAACAGGGAGTCATTCACTACTTTTGATTTTCTTTTTCGACTTTAAAATAATTAAAAAAAAAAAATTGTATGGCAACTAAAACAACACCCAATAAAAAACGAACTTTTTAGGTTACTAAAAGCTATGCCCATTTGGTTACTAAAAACTATTATTTATTTTTGTGAATTGGTTGACATTTTAACTGTTAAAATAGTTTTTTGGTTTTTAATTCCCACCAAGACGAATAAAGATTTATATTAAACATTTCTGTACGAGTATAATCTGTATTGCATAGCCATTGTGATAGCACGATTTCAAGAAATCGTAATTACTAAACTAAAATAACAGATATTTTAGTTGCAATTTTTATTTAATGGTCATTAAAGTATGTTTTATTTTAATTTAGTAAGTAAATTATGATTTATTGGTGTTGGCGAGGCGTACTACCCTGCCCCCAGATCTTTAAAATTTGTTGTTTGCAAATTATGAGAATCAAATCTTCTGTGTGCGTGGGGGTATCCCTTCTCTTTATTATATAGCATAGGTGATTAGGAGTAACCTTTTTAGGCACGAACCACTTTATTCACTAGACATTACCTTACGGGCCCGAAGGTCAAACTAATCTAACGCGAAATAGATCTTTTGAATCGGTTTATATAATTTTTCAACATTGAATTGTGTGCATACACAATTCAATGTTGAAAAATTGGTGACCATGACCAAAAAAAATGGTGACCACTAGCACTAGTGGTCACCATTTTTTTATTGTTTTATCAAGATCATTATTTTAGTTTCGTAAAAGAGTAGTATAAATACACATGTTCCATAGATTATTCATAAGACTAATTTAATTGAATTTAACGAGAGTAAATAAATTAAATTTAATTGCTAAATGATGACTATGACGATTTAAATTGCAGCTACATTAGTATTATAGTAAATATATGATACACAATTAATAGATATGTATACACATTAATACATTATAAATTAGAATTACAAATCTATTTTTTCACAGATTAGCATTACAATTATGGTTTTTACAATTTGTGGTACTTAAAACAGGGGGACCTGAGAATAAGTACCAGAAACATTCCAATTCAATATATTATATACGTGTTGTTGTTAACACTACCATATGTTTTGATGATTGGATTATCTATCACTACACTATTTAACACAAAATGTTTAATACCCGGCACTTTCTTGACCAAGTGTTTACTTCTTCTTATGTTTGTCTTTCTTTGCGTATATCCTTTGCTCATATTTTACTACTGAGGTTTATTAAAGTAAAAGTGTCAGTCAACTCTTAAATTCATTCATGTCTGGTGTACATGTACATATTTAATTAGTAAAGTGGGCATGACTCGCTCCCGTTTTCTCGAGAGATCACGTGATCGTTTTAACGGTCTCTCACAAAAGCTAAATTACTTCGATTACTATAAATGTAGAATGCCCATCGATTCTTATCCTTAACTTATTATTAATTTCAGTTGGTGGTGATGTACTCCTTTATTTATTTGGGTATAATACAGTCAGCATTCAATTTTTATGAGCATGCAGAATTGTTAAAATCATCTTCAGGTTTTCCTTCGGGACAAGCGTTATTATAAACTAGACATGCATTTTTTTGCAAAGGCAAATTTGACGTAGGTAGTGACCTGATTCTCTAGTTTTTATATGACTTCCTTAATAATTAATAGCTACACATTTAACAGTAAACTAGCTGAGTCCTCCGCGACTTCACTCTCGTTAATGTAAATTGTTTCTAAGTTTTTGTTTTAAAATGATGAAATGACGTCCTGGTTCTGTGTCACAGAACTAAGTCTGAAGAAATAAATTTTTAAAACGCTTTTTAACTAACGTTATATGCAAATTTTTGTATTCGATTAATTTAATTATATCCAAGAAATTTATCTCATTTATTTATTATTTACCTGTCTGTGTGTCTAATTGTCTATAAAAGTGACTATCAACTCAGTCACTATAGTCCATCTAAGTTTGACGTTTGACGTTTCATACTTTTCAAGACGAAACAACTTTGTACAGGCGTAACTCATTCAATAACCTTTTCCGTAAAACCATGGAGTTATGTAGCTATTTTTAGTTAGTCGCAATATATACAATTCTTAATAACTAAGTAAAATCTATGAAAAAGCAAAATAATCAATTAATACACAATATATGTTTTTTTTTCAAACTTCGTTATAATGTTACGTACATAGTTAGGTCTTTAACCTAGTATTGCGGCTCTTCAAATTTATTTGAATACAAATAATCGTTAAAATGTACGAAAAATCGAATTTATTAATAGCGAGTTATTTTCAGTCCAGGCGTCTTAGTGTTTAATAAAAATACTTAAAATTCATCTGACATCCAAACCTCAGTGAAAACGAATATTTTAAATTAAAAGTATGTAAGGTAATGTATCCGTGTAGTGATGGATTAAGAATACGGAGTGTTACCACCCCAATTCATCCCGTGGGTGTCGTAAATGCCTACAAAGGGACCAAACTACGCAGGACAACAGTACTGCAAAGAGGTGGAAAAACTTGACACAAACACTATAAGTACCAACCCGTCTGGCCAGCGTGGTATTGTAAGCCCAAACCTTCTTTCTAAGGAGACTCATATGTCTAGTAGTGGACTATTAAAGGCTGTTGATGTCATGTGTGATGTGAATATAATGGATTTTTTTAATAAATCTTTCTTTCTGATCGGCTCGATCCCTTGGCGTTACGTAGAGATGTGGCTTCACTCTGCATTCTCTATCGCATATGTCATAGCGAGTGCTCCGAGGAACTGCTCTGTCGCCATCGTTCCACACGGCGAAGTTTTCATCCTCA